CCCCCCCCCCCCCCATCTCTCTCTCTAGATATGGTTGATAATAGATGTTATTTACAGGTCATTTTCAGCCGCTTCACACAAGTGTTCGGTACTTGGATGCAGGCACCTGAAACCCCTTTCAGAAGCTTCAACCACTTTTCCAGGTTATTTCATAAGTTTCAAGTCTCCCAACCCGAAACTCCTGAAATAACCTGAAGTGGTTGAAGTCTCTGAAAGCAGTTTCAAGTCCCCCCATCCAAATGGTTGGATGGGGCACTTGAAACCGCTTGAGAAGCTTCTGTTTGTTTCAGAGGATTCTGGTCTCCCCACTTGAAACTCCCGAAATAACCTGAAGAGGCTTAAAATCTGAAAGCGGTTTTCGATGCCCCCATCCAACCATGAAGATGGGAGGACCTGAAACCGCTTTCAGAAACTTCAGCCACTTCAGGTCATTTCAAAGGTTTCACGCCTTCCCACCTACCAAAATTGATACACAACAACGTTAAAAAAAAAAAAAAAAAAAAAAAAAAACAAGCAAAAAAAAGAGGAAAAAAAAACATAAAAAACGACCCCCAAACTACCCGAAACTCCTAAAATGACGTGAAGTGTCTTTAGGCCATTTCAGCAGTTTCAGACCACTTCAAAATCTTTCATTATGAAATTTCAAGGGGTCGTTAACCACAAGTGTCTCTCTCGTGACCGCCCTCGCCTTTACTAAGATGGGACGCCCTTATAAAAATCGAAAAACAAAACGTGGTGTTTTCGTAAATCGGGAAAAGATTAAAGACTCGAAATGCCTTCTGAGGTAGGTCACAAAGGGATTGATATTTCTTTCCAAAGTCGTGCTCCTCCCATCACCAACATTCACCACAACGCGCCATTCTCTCTCTCTCTCTCTCTCCCTCTCTCTCTCTCTCTCTCTCTCTCTCTCTCTCTCTCTCTCCCTCCCTCCCTCTGTGTGTGTCCCCCTCTCTCTCGTGACCGCATTCGCTTGCCCTTGTTCATATCGGAAAACGAAGTGTGGTGTTTTCGTAAATTGAAAAAAAAACAAAGAACAAAATGCACTCTCTAGGTCGGGCACAAAGAAGGGCGCAAGGAGGCAGGAGAGGAGGAAGGGCGGGAGGGAAAGAGGGGGTAGAAGTGAGGGATAGAGGGGAGGGAGGGAGGGAGCGAGGGAGGGAGGGCAAGAAGAGGAAGGGAGGAAGTGGAGAGGGCCAAGCGCTAGGGAGGGAGGAGAGGGGCCGAGGGAAAACGTCCGAAGCAGGAATGGAGAACTGGAGGAGGATTGGCCGAGGGAGGATGGAGGTAATGGTGCTTCTAGTGCCTCTCTCTCTCTCTCTCTCTCTCTCTCTCTCCCCCCCCCCCTTCCGCTGTCCTCTTCCCTACCCTCATAAACCATCCAACCTCGGCACTCCCTCCGCCCTACTTCTCCCTACCACCATTCCCCCTCCTCCAAGCCTCCTCTCGACATCCTCTTCAACCTCCCTCCCATCTCCCTCCGCCTGGCCACCTCACTACCCACCCTTCCTTCGCCCAATCTCCGACTGACCACCTCCTTCCCCGGATCCCCTCCTTCCCTTTCCTCCGCCTGATCTTTATTGACATCCTTTCGCTGATCTCCTCCCTCCCCTTCTTCCTCTGCCCATGTCCATGGACCTCCTCCCTGCATTCCTCCCTCCACCCGACCTACCTCGCTCCTTCCTCCCTCCATTACTCTCTCCACCCGACCTCCTACCTCGCTCCTTCCTCCATTCCTCCCTCCATTCCTCCCTCCACCCAACCTCCTACCCGCGAAGTGTATTTCATTTTCTTTCTTTTTCCGGCGAACATAAATGCTGCTTGGCGCCCCTGCTACGAAGTGCATTTCGTTTTCTTTTTTCTTTTCTTTTTCCGGTGAACGTAAATGCTGCTCTTCTTTCGGAGATCTCAAGAAGGGAGCACACACGCAAGAAAGAGAGTCACAAACGGAGACAGGGAGACAACCATATTTCACACATATCTCACTTAACTCTTATTCCTCCACATCCTCCTCACTCTTCCTCCCCCTTCACTCTCTTCCTTCATTGCACCTTCTTGCTGGTCCATTTCCTCTTCCACCCACATATGTTTCACTCCTCCTCAAGCTCGTCTACCTCAATATTCTTCCTCGCTCTCTGGGGGCAGCCTTACAATCAATTTCGGGGTATTTCATGCCATGAATATTTCTTTCCATTCCTCATGCTCTTCCTCCCCAATCCCTACACCCGCCGCGCTTAGTCCTATCTCTTTCTCTCTCCTTCTCTCTCTGTCCTTTGTAACACGTCGTACGAATAAGGGGCGTTCATACGGCCCATAAGGCCGTACGTACGAGCCCCCAGGCAGTCGTACGACCCGTTTCAAGGGCCTTCTCGAGGGGGAAAATGACATCTGAGGGGGGG